AAACTCAAGTTTACCTAGAAGAAATGAAGCATGTGATGAACAGGAATATGTGGGTTCTAGAACAATTTATCACTTTTTAAGACAGTCATTTTAGCCTTTGTGTCAAGTAGGAATAATACTCCCATTGTGTGTCATGTCTCACAAAGCTTTTATGCAGATCAAATACACTAAAGAAATGGCAATGTACATATAAATATAATATATAATGTCTATATTACATAATATGTTTTCTCTCTCTCTCTCTCTCTCTCTCTGTCTGCATCAGGTGATACTACAGCTGTATTTAAGTCTCCAGCCCATTGTTTTGGGTACTTAAATGGGATCAGGGTCATTAATTCCTTTTTTTTCTGGGTTTGTCTTGTATTTTCAACAATTTACTTTTGGAGGACTCATTGGAATCACCCTGCTGTCCCTTTTCTCCTTCGCATCTAGTTCGGCATCCAGCACACACACACTCCACAAGGCTCTTTATAAATAAAGGACCGAGTGGGTGTCAAAGGGCTGAGGTCATGAGAAGAGGTCACTTGCCCATTGACGGGGACATTGAAGCCATCGATGTGTTTTGGTGTCTGAAGCAATCGTCATCACTTCCTGTACATACACACACGATTATGTACAGAAATATATTTGTATTTATCAGTATATATCAGTATATATATATGTGTGTGTGTGTATATATATCAGTATTCTCTTGGTACCATAAAACCCTGAGAATAGGGCCCAGCGCGGTGATGCAAGTGGTTAAGGTCCTTGCCTTGCACACCCGAGATCCCATATGGGCACCGGTTCTAATCCCGGCAGCCCCGCTTCCCTTCCAGCTCCCTGCCTGTGGCCTGGGAAAGCAGTCGAGGACGGCCCAAAGCCTTGGGACCCTGCACCTGCGTGGGAGACCCGGAAGAGGCTCCTGGCTTCGGATCGGCACAGCATCATCCGCCGTTGCGCTCACTTGGGGAGTGAATCATCGGACGGAAGATCTTCCTCTCTGTCTCTCCTCTCTGTATATCCACCTTTCCAATAAAAAAAATAATAAAAAGAAAAAAGAAAAAAAAAGAAAATCTATATTTACAGCAGCACAATCCACAATAGCAAAGACAGGAAGCAACCCAGACGCCTGTCCAAACAGGAGTGGGTAAAGAAATTGTGGTATATCTATTCTGTGGAATATTACTCAGCCATTAAAAGGAACAGTTCAGCTCTTGAACATAGCTCCAAAGCCCCGTGAGTGCACTCCTGTCGCTTTGCTGTGCTCACCTCCTCTCTTACTTCATTCTAGGCACGAGGCTTAACCTCACTTGTCCAGTTGTCTATTTTCCCACTCTCATTTGCCTTTTTTTTGTGTGTCACTTATCACACTTTGACACTAAGTTTGCTGATTTAATTTATGTGTGTCTCTCTCTGATTTAATGCAAGTGCCTGTGGGTGGGGATATGCTTTGTCCTTGACCACTGCCTGGTTTTTGTGTTCAGTCAACATTTGTGTGATGACATAAATATTATTATACTGGCTAGGAGAACTCTGCGGGAAATGAGTAATGGGTGAAAGCATAGTTATTGGCTCTACCCATGGCCAACAGTCAAAGTCAAGTCTGTCAAAGGCAGCCTAGCTTTAGCAGGAGAACAGAGTTCAGAAACAAACTAAAACTGCAACCAAAGCCATGTGGCAAATCAAAAAAAGAACAGATTACCTAATAATGGTTTTGGAATACTTCAGTCACTTACAAGAAAAAAAAAAAAAAGAAATCTCTGTATCTTCCCTTAGGCCAGATGGATCAAAGAAACATGTGAAAAACAAAAACATTTTGAAATCTTGAGGACAAAATCAGGAGGAATCTGCAATTTGCACTCAACACTAACCCTAACCCTAACCTAACGCTGACCCTAACCGTAACACTAGCTCTGACCCTGAACGTGACCCTGACCCTGACCCTAACCCTAACCCCAACCCCTAACCCCTAACCCCTAACCTCAACCCCTAACCCTAACCCCAACCCCTAACCCCTAACCCTAACCCTAACCCCAACCCCTAACCCCTAACCCCTAACCCCTAACCCTAACCCTAACCCTGCTTCTGGAGTCTCAGAGAAGGCAATCAGCCTCCCAGATGAAAACTATCCCAGTTGCAGGAGGCTTTCAGGTTGTGACCAGCACCCATTCTACAGACAAAAAAAGCGAGGCCCGGGGGCCCAAGGACACAGAGTTGCCTCCATGCACAGTGCTGAATCCTTTTGCTCAGTTATCGGTTGTGAATACTGAGTTAATTCACGGGGTTTTCAATCCCATCTACAACTAACCATCAGCTGTCTGAGTTCTGAGCATCCTCAGTGCCTCCCGCTTCCCCGAGTGGAGTGGCGGCGGCCAAAGTGCCAAAGCTCCCCAGGAGATTGCACCGTGCAGGCAGGAGTGGGTGTTACTTCCCTGGGGAGAGCAAATGACCCCGAAGGGCGCAAGAAGCTGTGCTGCAATATGCTGTGCTGCTCATACCGGGCAAATAGAAACGCTATGATGGATAATGTCAATGAATGGATTTTTTTCAACAACCTCATCGTGTTTGGAGAGGCAAGATTGGCAGCAGTTTCAAAACAGGGGACCTATTGAAACCACTTCAACGAGCATCTCGGAGCACGCCCCACACAGAGGACTTGGAGTGGGTGGGAAACCGGGTGGGGCTTCTCCCTCAATATCCCCCTCTACCTCAGGTAGATGAAGGAAACAATATGGAAATAATAGTCTTACCCACTTTCCTGTAGCCCTTGACCCTTTATGCACAAATTAACCATGTAAAGATTGTTAAAATAAAAAATATTAAAAAAAAAATATGCTGTGCTGCTCAGCCCACTTCCCAGACTCCCTGCAGCCACATATGCCTCTGCTCGGACCTTGCACTTGAGCCTGGAAAAGAATTAATGCGTTTGACAAATGTCCAAAGCTTAAATTCCTTCTGTCTCCTTAGAGAATGTTCCTGTTTCTAGGGATATCAGAACATCCACGAGACCCTTACATTTAATGCTTTCTAATGTCATTTCTGAGGCCAATGGGCCTCCCCAATACTCTATGCCGTGTTCCTTCATCGTTTTGGAAATACGCTGTGACTTGAACAGAGGGTGACGTAAACAAGGGACATTTAAGCCAGCAGAGAGCAGCTCTGGGATTGAGATGGGATGGAGGAGGCCAACATTTCATCTGATGACATTTATTACATTAGGAAAGATTTTTTTATCAAGATCTGGCTCTAGACAGCCCAATAACACTTGACATAAAAGGATGAAGATGTGTGCTAGGCGGATCACCGACTCATTCTTCCAATTCCATAGAAGTGTCGTTCCTAAGCAATTGCCATGCAGTACTACAATGGCAGGGAACTCGGAGGGTTACATTTTTGTGCCCCTGCGAGGTAATGCATGCACTTGCAGGGTTCCTTCACGTGGGTTCTGGAAGGACTCCAACCAGTGCTAAGATAATTGCAAGCTGTCTGCAGGGGCACAAAAGGACAGAGGCCATTTGGACACTGGCCGGGAGGCATCCACAGGAAGCTCTAGTTTAGGGGACAGTATCTGTTGGAAGGGTCTTGGTCAGGAGGTTCCTGGTTGCTCAAGAGGGTAGTTGCCCAGGAGCCAATGAGGTTTGAGCATGGCCCATCTACAGCAACATCCCGGCACCACTGGACCTCCAGGAGAGCTGGGAGGGGCTGGAGTCATGGATTAGGAACCCCATTCTATTCTTCCAAATGGCTGGCAGGGGCCCAAGGACTTGGACCATGTCCTGCTTCTTGCCAGGGGCATCAGCCAGGGAACTGGAGCAGAAGAGGAGCAGCCAGGACCAACTGACACGCTGTTATGGGATGCTGATGGCTTACATGATGGCTTAACCTACTGTAGCACAATGGCAACCCTGAAGGTTTAATTCTAACAGCGAGGAGAACTAAATCAATAGAAACATATGAATGTCGTTTCTATCTTTTGTGACCCCCCAGACCTAAACAAAGTACTCTAGGAATGGAAGGATGGTCATAAATCAAATAAATGATTCACATTTTAGTAGGCACATCATGCAAGTAACAATGTGACATTCTCAATGGGAGGCGGGTCCACCAATAGAGGTGGGTGAAACCCACTGCAGAATAAGGTCCTAATGAAAAAAAATGATTTTTTTTTTTCAGGCAGTTATCCCCAATTACCATGAAATAGGAATGTTCAACACACTGGACAAGTGTTCCCCTTCAGTCCCATACAGTTCTGGCTACCAGTTTCTGCTGGCCCAAATCCCCAGCTATTGTAGGCATTAGGGAATAAACCATTGGATGGGAGACCTCTACCTGCCTGCCTTTCAAATATAGAAAATAATATTTTTTTTCAAAATATTTTTAAAACGTTATTTTTATTTGAAAAGCAGATTTATAGAGAGAAAAAGAAGAGACAGTCTTCTGTCTGCTGGTTCACTCCCCAAAATGGCTCCAGTGCTAGGAGCTGGGCTGGTCTGAAGCCAGGAGCCAGGAGCTTCTTCCATGTCTCTCATGCGGGTGCAGGGGCCCAAACATTTTGGAGCCATCCTCTGCTGCTTTTGCAGGCATAAGCAGAGGGAGCTGGGTCAGAAGTGGAACAGCTGGGACTCAAACTTGGATGCTGACCCACATATGGAGTCTTAATTTACTGTACCACATGGTACTGGCTCTTCTTTTGAGGAGAATTTTACTCATTTTAAAAATTTACTCATTTATTTAATCAGTAAAATTTCATGAGTAAATTTTAAAAATGGAGGCTGAGCAGTTAAACGAAAGGGGGAGATTATCTCCCAAAGGCACCTCCCACATTATGGACTGGACAAAGAGTGCATGTTTCCACAAGGTTCTTTCCCTGCTCTTGTGCTGCCATATTGACCCACATCAACAAAGCGGCCGGTGGGAGGGGCGCAGCAGTCCGTAATCAGAACGTGCGTCTTGCGTGCTGACGTAATTGCTTGGGAAACCGTACGTTACGACCGGGGAGTACATTTTACACCGCCTAGAAGCCTATTATTAGGGCTCTTTATCCTCTAAGTGTAAAATCTGTCGTCCCATGTTTTCAGGAATGAGTCATGTGGCACTGGGAAATACGGTGGACCTGGACGAGCAGGTGAGTTGTAGTCACCGTACTGACGTTTTATAGTACCGTTACTGTGTTATGTTCGACTGCAGCAGTATACTAAGCAGTTACTACCCTGCTGGTAGGCGTCACTTATGTTGGGATTGTCTCTGCGGCGCGCCACGGTAGAAAAGCAAATGAATTAAATTCCGTGGCGGTTTGAGGCGCTGGTAATCACCGTTATCTGTAACGTTTATCACGTGTGTTCCGCTTGCGGAGAATTGAACTGTACCGGCCGCGCGCCATAGCGGCTTTTGTGCATGCGCCGTGCTCCGCATGCGCATGCGCAACTCTCCAGTGCTTGTCAACAACGGTTTCCCTAATTCGGACTTAATGTTTCTCCTGTTTTTCACCTATTTGTGTTTAAACGGCCCTGAGATAAATTTTACATGTTTCTGCGTGCTCATTCGAAAAAGTAATAAAGCTCCGGGATTTTAGAAATACCGCAATCAAACAGAAGGGAAATGGCGTTGCTTTTTGTATTAATACTAGCTTCCTTCTACAAACCTGGAGTACAGAGAGGTGGGAAAAAAAAAACCTGGTGATGATAAAGGAAAAATAAACGCCATGTAGTTTTTTAAATGGTCGTTCCTCCCCGCCCCGCGCCCCGCGCCCCGCGCCCCGCGCCCCGCGCCCCGCGCCCCGCGCCCCGCGCCCCGCGCCCCGCGCCCCGCCCCCCGTCCCCCGCCCCCCGTCCCCCGCCCCCCGGTCGCGGACGTTGGGAGCCCGCTGACGCAGCGGTGTTTCCGGAGTGGAAAGTTTTGTGACGCAGAACAACCGGAAGCGGATGCTGGCGAGGGAGGGAGGGAGGGAGGCGAGCCGACCGTACCAGAGGAGAAGAGGAATGGCCGCCGCGTGTTTCCGTTGACCTGTATGTGGAGATAATGGACGGTAGAAGCCAGCAAGACGACATCTGTGAGGTTAGAAACTGAGGATTGTAATAATTTCCATCCACAGAACAACTTAGATTCTTAATTGGGCGGTAAAAGGGCGTTTTGTGTCGTTAACTTGAGAATTTCATTCCCAATCGGCCACCATAAACTAAAGCCGCTTTGTTGATTCCACGCGTACTTTAGGTTTTAGTAAACAGGAAGATGCGGAAATACAATTACTTCTTTCTTATTTTTTATCGTTAGTACCTTATTCTTCTGTATCGTTGAGCCAGTCAGCTGTAACCTGCTTTTTTAACAAGTTTTACCGGCGTCTTAGTCGCGGTAATGAAATTCCAACCGGCTCAAGTCGTTTGGTCTCCTAAAACCTGTTCCACGCTGTGAGCTATGTGACTTGCCGTCTCCTCTACCTACTGTGACTAGTACATTACGTGGATATAAGAACTACAACCTTAATCTTGGTCCTAAATTTCATGGTAACTTGAAACATTCCCACCCTCCCTCTTTAGTAGATGTTTATTTATTGAAATTTATACAGTAGAAATGTAAAATGTCATTTTTCTCCCGTCATATATTTACTATCATTTTTTAGCATTCATAAATCATATATTCCTTACATTGCTAGCATTATATATTAAATGAACTAGCTTTACGAATTTGAAGTGTTAATGCTTAATTTCCTGTGATTTTATAGCTCTATATTGTATATTTGTTATTTATATATTTGTTATTACCCTTTATTTACATTTAGCAGTATTCCAGTTCACCCTGCAAACGAAATTTCATTTTTCTTGTGTATAGCTCACTTTAACATTTAGATTACTGAATTTTCATCAATTCAGTTAAGAAATTTTACAGAGGTTATAACATCGGCTTGGATTGGGTAAATTTCAACATTTTACAGAGGTATTTGTGACATCCAGGTGCTCCTTAACCGAATCATCCTTTGTAAACTGGGAGGGTTCTAAGGACAAGGATAAGAATTATTGATAACTCTTTTCCAGTTGGCTGGTCTAGACCTGAATGCTTCTGGTACTCAGTCTGCAGGAGGAAGCACTGCAAGCAGTAAGTAAAAAGTTTTAAATATACAGAAAAGCTTTATTACATTGATGCTAGGTTGTGACACATAATTAGATTTAAATTAAACATTTTTTTCTGCTGAATTTAACATAAACACATAATGACATATTTGAATTTAGTTAGTATATGTTCTCTTCTCTCCTAACTTTAACTAGCTTTTAACAGGCTGTCCTAGTAAAATAATGGTCTTATTTAATGTTAGTAAATGTTCTTTACATAAACCACTTAGGACATTTTAAGTCATGACTAGTAACTACTGAACTGTTGGAATATTTTTATTCTTGTGACCCAAGGGTCTGAACTTATTTACAAGCTTAGTTTTTGTTTAGAGAAAATGTTAGATTGGTGAACCATTAAGTTTGCATTTAAATTGAGCTTGAAAACTTGCTCAGCTTGTAGTTTTCCAAGTTCCTTCCTTTTTTTCTTTTATAGAAGGGCGCTATATACCTCCTCACTTGCGGAATAGAGAAGCTTCTAAAGGTATGTCATTTAAAAAAACGCTCATAATCTCACTTTTATTCCCAAAAGTAATTAAACCATAGGAAAAATATTTTTCAGAAATTTTAACACTTTATTTCTCCAGTGTTTCTGTTAGATATTTCTTTTGGGACCTAGCACTTACTAACTTTGGAAATGTTCATGTGATAACAATAATGAGCAATTCTTGTTTCTTTTGATTGTGAAAAACTTGAGTTTTGTTGTTTTATTACTGTAGTGCGTTACTTGTAGACGTTGATAGATTTGTTTGAAAGAGGTGCCTTTGTGGTGATGCTTCAGAAAAAGCCTCATGATGATAAAGCACTGTTTAAACCCTGTGTTAAAGTTTTCACAATTGAAATGTGAGTTTTGAGGAAGAGTAAATTTTGGCCACAGTCAGTAGTATGTGTGGTTGGTTTTTTTAGTGTTTTGCCTGAAATGCTTAATTTAAAAATTTTGACACATGTAGTGTGTTTTCACTTGTAAGAATGGATAGATTAGAAAAATATTTATTATTATTTTAACCTTTTTTAAAGATAACTCATTTACACTGCTCTGGTTTAGTCCCCAACACTTGTGGTTTTGCAGTGTCAAAAGGGGAAGGTGTGCATCTGGCCTACGACTTTCAGGTTGGTGGCGGAGACTCACCTACTGGAACTATAAGTTGATAACTCAGGATACACATTGGCATGGCCCAATAATGAAACTAACTTGAACTCAGCTTCTCTTGTGGAAAGCAGATACTGCAACCCAAGGGGTATTAATTTGAAATTTGTATATATACCAAAAAGAATGACCTCAAATTTTTGAAAGACAACAAGGTCATGGAGTATGTAAGCAAAAAGAGACTGATAATAGAGTTTAGAGAAGTATTGAGTATTGAAGGTGAAAAGATAAATCATTTATGGTTGAGTGCTTTTTTTTTCCATTTAATTTGTGATTGCCAGGAGATTATTTAGATAATGATGGCAGTTTTCCAAAGAAACAATTTCTTTTGTTGATGTTGTTGGTGTTGCTTAGAAGTATTGTTGACTAACTATAACTAAGCTATACTAAACACCTAAACTATAATAAACATTGTGAAGGGAATGGCAGTATTTTAAGGTTTTTTGAGATGGAAGAGATGTTAGAAATGTTTTTCCTATACTAAGAAGCTATTGATCAGCTGCCTGATAGTGGAGTTTTAACTGATAGCAACTTTTCCATCTTATGTCTGAATTTGATGAAGCATCTAAATTGATGGTGGGATGAAGTTACGCTTGGCTTTTAACTCTACTCTCGATACCTGTCTGCTTGCAAAATAGGCAGCAATGAGGTCACCCCCTATTCCTAACTAGATAATGTTTTACCTGGTTCAGATTTAGTACAATGTTGGTAGCTTCCTTAAGTTAGACAGAATATGTACATGAATTTAGCACAATGATATTTATAGAAGTTGTTAATTATTAATGTTGAAACACGTTTGACAGTGGGAATTAATAGGAAACTCTTAAGTTTATTTTGATTGTTATGCTGTCACATATGGCTGAAGTTCTGAGTGATAGTTTTGAAGACATGCACTTTTTTACAGAGGCATTTGCTCTCTAAGAAAAACGTGTGTATATAAAAGATAGTGGACAAGTCATGTTTAGTTTGCTGAATGGTTACCCAGTAAACTTGTTCTGGAATAAATGGTTAAGCAATGAAGTTCCAGCATATTTTGAAGGTTTGTAATTGCCCAAATAACTAGTATAGAGGTATGGAATTGCAAATTTTTAGTAAGATTTCTCAAAGCTGTAATGCCTAATATTAGTATAGTTAATTACAGCCACATACTAGCAACCAAATTTTTGTACCAAATTGTTCATGTTAATTTTTCTCTAGGGATAAACATAACTGGAAGTTAGTGTCATAACTGCCCCTGAGCAACTTCCTTTGAGCTCAGATTTCATGGAGGCACTTCAGTTCTTAATTCCTACTTTATTTTTTTTTATTTGCTTCTAAACAGTCTAATCAAAATAGAGTATACTTGTATTTTGAGTGCAGCTTATACTGTTGAAGCAAATGGAAACTGAAGAAATGATGCTTACTCAGCCTACTTTTATGCAGTGAGATGGTTTTTCTTGCTCAAAATAATTTCTGTTGATTAAAAATTCTGTGGGACTACTGACCTTAAGAACACAAAAAGTAAGATTATAGAAAGCTATGTGCTTGTTTATATTTAAGAAGGCAGCAAGGTTTAATTTTTGGTGTTCTATTGAAGGGTTTTATGATAAGGACAGTTCAGGCTGGAGTTCTTCTAAAGATAAGGATGCATACAGCAGTTTTGGGTCTCGTGATTCAAGAGGAAAGTCCAGTTACTTCAGTGACCGTGGAAGTGGATCAAGGGGAAGGTAAATTCTTGTGCATATACAGAAGTGATTTAGAATTCTAAGTTGGTAAGTCTTCATTTTTTTTAATGTTTCAAGTTCTCAAGCTTTTTGCATTTTTGGGTTGGTAAGCTTTTTTTTTTCTTTAATTGATCCTCTGTTAAAAACCATTGGCTTATTGCCTGTTAAATTTGTTACTAAAAATAGTCTTAAATAATGTAGTTAATAACTAAGTTTGACAGAATGTGAAAATAGATAAAAGATACCTGTATGGTTAGTTCTTAAATATTTTTATTATTGATGTGATGCCTTGATCATGATGTCATGGCTGTATTTAATCCTTGTATTGTTTTCACATGTAAAAAGTTTTTCTTTATTCTGAATTTCATTATGAGTAGAACTGACTAAAAAGCATTCTGATTGTGCTGTACAGATTTGAAGATCGTGGACGGAGTGACTATGATGGTATTGGCAGCCGTGGTGATAGAACTGGCTTTGGCAAATTTGAACGCAGTGGCCACAGTCGTTGGTGTGACAAATCAGATGATGATGATTGGTCAAAACCACTTCCACCAAGTGAACGCTTAGAACAGTAAGTTGCTGAAATGTGCTGTAACTGTTAGAATTCTTACTATCCTACATAATGTATAATAATTATTTGACTTCAGGGAACTGTTTTCTGGAGGAAACACTGGAATAAACTTTGAGAAGTATGATGATATACCAGTAGAAGCGACCGGCAATAACTGTCCTCCACATATAGAAAGTGTAAGTTTTTACCAAAGTCATTTGTTTACTTGTTCTAAAGATTATTTATGTTTATTTAAAAGGCAAATTGGATAGATACAGAAAGAGGGAACTCTCTCTTTGTCTCCTTCCCTAAATGGCTGCAACAGCTGTACCTAGCCCAGTAAGGAGCCAGGAGCTTCTTCCAGGTCTTCAATGTGGGTGTGGAGTCCTAGACCATGAGCAGGGAGCTGGATCAGAAGTGGTGCAGCAGTGGAACCAGTAGCTATTAGATGCCATCATTGTGCTTGACCCAATTTTTAGTGACTTTAGAAAATGTTTCTCTTTTTGCTTGTATTTGATTAACTTGTTTAAATTTCTTAACAGTTCAGTGATGTTGAAATGGGAGAGATTATCATGGGGAATATTGAGCTTACCCGTTACTCTCGTCCTACTCCAGTGCAAAAACATGCCATTCCCATTATCAAAGAAAAAAGAGATTTAATGGCTTGTGCCCAAACAGGTGAGCTGACTTGATAAAGAGTGAAAATGAAGAATACTTTAACTGGGCTTGCTACAGAAGTGTTGAGAAGACAGGAATTATGTATTGAGGATGCTTTTGAGATAGCTTGATTCTGTCAGTTTTGCCATTGAACCCCAGGGATCAAACTAGGATTTCTACAAGGGTGTCTTTGGGAGTCCTGTCTAGATTGACTTGCTGATATAATGCAACAGGGAGAATATTGAGTTTGAGAAATGCCTTTTTTTTTTAAGTAAGAATATGGTTTCCAAAAAAAGAAAAGAATCTGGCCTCAATTATTCTCTATTTAATACACCTTTATCAGGAAATAAAATTGTGTATTGTAGATAAAAAAGCAAAACCAACACTTGCTTAGTTTTTATGTTTTGCTGAAAAATTTATACCCATTTGTTCCTTTATATATCAAGATTATAAAACACACTGGCTTGCATAGGCTCATATTGTTATTTCAGAAAGAAAGTTTAAGTCAGCCTGTTTTGTGCTATTGTACTGTTGAAGTTGATGCTGTCGGTACTGTGAGGGAAAAATTAGTATCTTTTCAGAAAAGTATAGATAGGATACAAAAATTTCAGTAGGAAGACATAGGGTGTATGAAATACTTGATTTTTATTCACGTCATTAATGGTTAAACATTTTCTTAACCAGGGTCTGGAAAAACTGCAGCATTTCTTCTGCCTATTCTGAGTCAGATATATACAGATGGTCCAGGTGAAGCTCTAAAGGCTGTGAAGGTAAAAATTTTCTTACTAAGTAGGAAATTAAGATTTTGTAAATATTATTTTTAGGCATATGTAACTTTGTTTTAGACATGTACTTATTTGAGATGCAATAGAGAAGGGAGCTTTATTTCTTGGTTTATTCGTGAAAGATCCACAACAGCTAGGAGCTGGGAACTGAATCCACTTAGATTTGCCAAGGTATTGTGTGTTACATCCCAGTGTCTGGTGTTTGTAGGAAGTTGAGCAGGTAGCAAATGGGCACTTTAATTATAGAAGTCATAAAGCTAAAAATTTTATGTATTTCTCAGGAAAATGGAAGATATGGACGTCGTAAACAATACCCGATATCTTTGGTTTTAGCACCAACAAGAGAATTGGCAGTACAGATCTATGAGGAAGCCAGAAAAGTAAGTAGTGCCTTGGTAAGGTACTTTTCATCTAGTACAATGGTGAAAAATTATAAATGCTTAATAAATATTTTGTTTAGTTTTCATACCGATCTAGAGTTCGCCCTTGCGTGGTTTATGGTGGTGCAGATATTGGTCAGCAGATTCGAGATTTGGAACGTGGATGCCACTTATTAGTAGCCACTCCAGGACGTCTGGTGGACATGATGGAAAGAGGAAAAATTGGGCTAGATTTCTGCAAGTATGTTTAAATTTTTTAGTATGAAATGTATTTTAATTAATGCTTTCTCTCTTTTCCTCTAAGATTTATTTATTTTTTTTAATTGGAAAGTCAGGTATATAGAGAGCAGGAAAGACAGAGAGCAAGATCTTCCATCTGATGATTCACTCCCCAAGTAGCTACAATGGCCAGAGCTGTGCTGATCTGAAACCAGGAGCCCAGATCCTCTTCCGGGTCTCCCACGCGGGTGCAGGGTTCCAAAGCCTTGGGCCGTCCTCGACTGCTTTCCCGGGCCACAGGCAGGGAGCTGGAAGGGAAGCGGGGCTGCCGGGATAGAACTGGCGCCTGTACAGAATTTCAGTGCTTGCAAGGTGAGGTCTTTAGCGTCTAGGCTACTGTGCCTGATCCCTTTTTTGTTTGTTAAGTGTTCTGATAATTGTGTGGTTTTAAAGAATTAACAGTATGAACAATTATATTCTACAAGACTGTATTGTTCACTTACATAGCTGAATAGTAATATTCAAAATTAGATTTTAGGCACAGTAGCATAGAGGCAACCTCTGGGATCCCATATGAGCACTGGTTCTAGTCCCAGCAGCGCCACTTCCCATCCGGCTCCCTGCCTGTGGCCTGGAAAAGCAGTCGAGGACGGCCCAAAGCCTTGGGACCCTGCACTCATATGGGAGACCTGGAAGAGGCTCCTGGCTCCTGACTTGGATCGGTTCAGCTCCAGCTGTTGTGGCTAGTTGGGGTAAGCCAGAGTGAGGAAGATTTTTACCTGTCTTCTTCTCTGCGTATCTGACTTTGCAATTAAAATAAATCCAAGGAAAAAAATTAGAAGTTAGATTTAATAACTAAATAGTAATGTGATTGATATTGCTTGACGCAGTAACCAATGGAGAATTTACTGAGTGTTTTTCAACCAGGTATTTAGTGTTGGATGAAGCTGACCGAATGCTGGATATGGGATTTGAACCTCAGATCCGTCGTATAGTTGAACAAGATACTATGCCACCAAAAGGTGTTCGTCACACCATGATGTTTAGTGCTACTTTTCCTAAGGAAATACAGGTACTGCTTCATGCTAATGATTTTTCTTTGGTACTCTGAACTTGAATATAAAATAATTGTTAAAATAATGAGATTTTAAAAATTCTTTGCTGTTTTTCAGATGCTTGCCCGTGACTTCTTGGATGAATATATCTTTTTGGCTGTAGGTCGAGTTGGTTCTACTTCTGAGAACATCACGCAGAAAGTAGTTTGGGTGGAAGAGTCAGATAAACGATCCTTTCTACTTGATCTCTTAAATGCAACAGGTAAGATTTTAATTCATGCTCTCTGTTAGATGTGAGAAAAATATTCTGATATTTTCTTTCTACTCACCACCTTTCCTTTAATTTTTAATCATTAGTAAAACTTCTTAATTTGCATGCTTAACAGGTGCAAGAAAAATTAAGCCAGATATTTTTCAGATCAGTACATGATGCTAACTTGGAAAACATTCTGATTTTTCAGGGAAGGAATCATTAACTTTAGTGTTCGTGGAGACCAAAAAAGGTGCCGATTCTCTGGAGGACTTTTTATACCATGAAGGATATGCTTGTACCAGCATTCATGGAGATCGATCTCAGAGAGATCGGGAGGAAGCCCTTCACCAATTCCGCTCTGGGAAAAGTCCAATTCTAGTAGCTACAGCTGTATGTATATTAAACATTTGAGCTGATTATATCTCAATACTTTTTCTTTTTTTTAAATTTTTTTTAATTAATCTTATTTTTTAGGTGGCTGCAAGAGGGCTAGACATTTCCAATGTGAAACATGTTATCAATTTTGATTTGCCAAGTGATATTGAAGAGTATGTACATCGTATAGGCCGTACAGGACGTGTAGGAAATCTTGGTAAGAGTTTGTAAAATAGTTTGATAGGTTATTTTGAGTTGTGCATTTACTAAAGGATTTGACCACAATCTTAAAAATAGATCTTTGCAAATAATCATTTTAATATTTCATCTAAAAGAGTGGCTACTGCATTGTAAATTAATTTTTATTTTAGGATCTACTTAATATTTTAGAGACCTTTTTTTTTAAGGTTTATTTTTATTGTAAGGTAAGATATACAGACAGCAGTGGAAAGAGAGAGAGGAAGTCTGCCACAATAACCAGAGCTGAGCGAGTCCAGAGTCAGGAGCCAGGAGCCAGGAGCCTCTTCCGGGTCTCCCTCTTGGGTGCAGGGTCCCAAGGCTTTGGGCCGTCCTCCACTGCTTTCCCAGGCCACAGGGAGGGAGCTGGATGGGAAGTGGCGCTGCCGGGATTAGAACCAGTGCCCATATGGGATCCTGGTATGTTCACAGTGAAGACTTTACAACTAGGCCTTTACGCCAGGCTTTAGAAGTGCTTTTAAAAATTTTGCAAGTAATGCATACTATGCAGCAATGTGGGTTTCTCATTGTTACCAGAAGGTGGTAGATAACACCTTGTAATTTCACTTTTCCACAACCTTTTTTAATTTTAAGAGTTATTTTTACTGGGAAGGCAGAATTATAGAGAGAAGAGATGTAAAAATCTGCATCCACTCATTTACTCCCTGAATGGCCACAGCAGACTTAACTGGGCCCATTTGAAGCCAGAATCCAGGAGCACCTTACAGGTCTTTCATGTATGTCCTAGGTCTACAGGCCACCAGCGGGGAGCTGGGAACACAAACCAGAGCCCATATAGGATCCTGGAGATAGCAAGGCAAGAACTTCAGCTGCTGCGGCTGACTTGTGTGTGAAAAAAAAATTTTTTTGTGTGTGAAAGGTAGAGTAACACACCCTCTTCTGCTAGTATGCTTAACTCAAGAGCAGTGATTGGGCTGAAGCTGTGAGTCCAAATCTAATTCTGGATCTCATGTGTGAACTGACAAGGACATGACTAATAAATGCGTCTAAGGTACATATTAGGAGGAAACTTAATTTAGAAATGAAGCTGGACACACCTAAGTGACTTAAAAGGGACACATGCGTTTCAGGCAATACCCTAACCACTATATTAAGTTCTGGCCTGTCCTACAATTTTTGGAGTAAGTAAAAGTAACGGCAAAATACACATTGCTGTAATTAAGTCTGACCTTTTACGTACTTTGTTAATTCAGGCCTTGCTACCTCTTTCTTCAATGAACGAAATGCAAATATCACAAAGGATTTGTTGGATCTGCTTGTTGAAGCTAAACAAGAAGTTCCATCTTGGTTGGAAAATATGGCTTATGAACACCACTACAAAGGTGGTAGTCGTGGACGTTCCAAGAGGTACACATTGTTTTCAGTTTTCACTTGTGTAATTGAAAAGTGTTGGTTAGACAGCTGTATTGTACTCACTTTGGATGAGGAATAATCATTAAAAAAGATGCCAACTAATAAATCATCTGTTCATTGCTAATGAGTTGAAAACACTAAATTTGAATCTGATGAACTGGAGCTTGAATTTATCATGTGAGAATTGGAATTTCAAGTAGCAATTATTTCATTCTATTTTTATAGTCATGTGACATGCAAAATTTTTTTTGTGTGTTTTGTGTTGTTAAACTAGATTCAGTGGAGGGTTTGGTGCCAGAGACTATCGTCAAAGTAGTTCCAGCAGTTCTGGCTTCGGTAGTCGTACAGGCAGCAACCGGAGCAGTGGAAGTGGTCACAGCAGCAACAGAGGGTACGGCGGAGGTAATAGAAATTTTTTCCTTTGGGTTTACTGTGGAATTTTAATTTTAAAGAGCACAAAATCAAATAGTTTTTTTATATTTATATCAAAGAACTGAAGAAAATGGGGAAAACTTCTGAGGGTAGATGGCTTAATTTCTCTTTCTGAACATTTCTTAATAGGTGCCTATGGAGGCTTCTACACTAGTGATGGATACGGAGGAAATTATAGCTCACAAGGAGTTGACTGGTGGGGCAACTGAAAATCCTTTGCAGTAAAGTCAAACAAGCTAATGTGTACCTTTAGCCAGACTGTGTTGTATAGCTTCAAGAACATAGCAGTATGTTACCAGTTGATTCTCGTGAAAATGCAAGAGAGCTCACAAGTCACAAAGAAGAAATGAACAATCAGCAGCCCTGTTAAGAAATTTGAAGACTTAATTGCTATCATTTGGATAACTCCTCTCCTGCTTTGTTCAATCCCAAACTGCATTTGTAACTGTGACTGAGGATCATTTGTTAGTATTCTGTGACTTTTAACTTTAGTCAATGTTTTGATACCTGTTGGCTCAATAATACTCAAGGTAACAGTTGTTTGACAAAATAAATTTACTGAATTGAGCTACCATCAACCTTGGCACACAAGTGTTATGATACAACTTTAGTGATTATTTTTCCACAAATAGAAAAAAATATGATGTCTTTCTTTTGATCCTGGAAGTCGAGTTAAAAACAACTTAAAAATAAGTAATTTTCAGTATGGCCAGCTGTATTAAGTTAAAGTTCTGATTTGCTCACTCTATCCTTAAAAGGAGTTTAGAACCTCCATCTAGTTAAGCCATTTCAATGGTGAAGAGATAGGATGTAAGAATACACCCAAAACATTTTTGAAACCATTCTTCAAAGTTAATACAAATATCGACAGTAATTTTTCATTTGATATTTGCGCAGGGTATTCTAGGATACACAAATATGGGCGCATTGTTACAGAGAAAATTTAGAGTTCTATTGTCTTAATTTCGCAAACATTTAAATTTTTAATGCCTACCATAATAAAATGAAAGTGTTAGGCTGGCTGACACTGTTAGTCAACAAATCTTACTGCAGATTGGGTTCAATTTTGATCTTCAGGGCATGCTAGCTGTTAATGTTTTTTGGTCAAGAGGGTTTGAGCAGGAAGGGCTATGCAGCAGGCTTTGAGTTAATTTGGATTCACATTGCATTGTAGAGCTGCATTAAAAAGTTAAAATGGCTTACATTTGCAAATTTTTGTAAATTTCAAAAGTAAATAAATCCTTGCAATCACACAGGTCGGAAATACATGCTAAGCTGCAAAGGGAATCAATTTGATATTTTTAAAGATAATATTTAAGGCAGTATTTTAGTTGAGTAGGTTTCCATTGAATTTGTAGTCCTTGTACTAAATTTGGCCAAAGATGATTGTCCATTACTGAAAATGCCTCTGCTGCTTGGAGTTCTGTGCTTTTTGGGCCAGAATACAGTTTTAAAAAAAATGTGTTTTACAGTAAGCATAAAAACTGGCAGGAATTCTTGAAGTGCAATATATTTTCAAGTGTGTTGTGCCTTGTTCTAAAACTTTAATAAAGTAGGTGCAGTTGACCACTTGACAGTTTTAAGGTCATTTGTTATGGTGCTATTTAAATTAGTATAGATTAGACACCTGGACATTTTGCCCATAACTTTTTACAAAGTACCTATTTTATTGCACATTCAGAAAATTTATATATGTATGTGCATGTTTGTCTTATGTGTAAGTTTTTCAATTTCAAATATTTGTCTCTTGGAAATGCAGCTTGTTAAGTTTCATCTGGGACCATTGCTTGTTGAAAATTTTTTGCACATGGCAGATTTTGGTAGATATTTTTTTGCTTGTGTAATATTTATTGAGCCTTTTGAAAGATATTTATTTTTATTTTTGTAAGCCTAAAAATGATTCTTAGAAAGTTTAATGAAACTTGACCAAAAGTACACAAACACTGGCACTTGAATGTTGATTGTCACCATATGTGAAAAAATTTATTGTGGGGTAGTGTGAGCTTTTAATGTCAAGTCCTATTAAACTTGAGTCAAATTAAGCAGACCCAAAATTGGCAGCATAGCTACAATTTCGTGATAAAATTTAGAGCAAAATTAGCAGTGTGAAACTAAAGCATGCCAAGGTTATGATAACACTTCTGAAAGCAGATAGGAATAATCCAAATTCTCAAAGGTTCTCAGATTTTATTTAGATAATGTGTTTTGTTGTGTTTGATTTCTTTAACTGTCTGGCATTTGCAGTTCTCAAACATGCTTGTTTTTCTGTATTGCCATGCTCAGTGACTTCTGCATTCAGTTTAATTACTCAGCAATACTTGGAGTAAAAAATAAAAGTGGATTTAGTTTGCTGAATGGAACCTGAAGTCACTGCTTAGTAATTGCCTATTGTATTGTGTTAGATGGTAGCACTGCATGTGCTGCTCTTTGTTCTGATTTTACTTAAATAAAAAGTTAAAGTCTTTTTATGGTATTAGTTGAAGTTTGCTGCTATTGAGAAAGGTGAAGATAAAAGTTTGAAGAACTGGAAATTTTCTAGCTCCCCAGCAAGCTGTGAAACACCTATGAAGCCACGATATTTCTATGCTTTCAGTAGTTGAGTAATGGATGGTTTAAGTTGACGTACAGGAGAAAAATGAATTTACATAAACACAAATGGAATTCTGTAAGGTGTGTGTAGTATGTTTTGAGTGATATTTCTTTTAACATTACAGAATGCTATAATTCAACTTGCTGGTGTTTCACAGTCAGTAAATGAGGATAGGAAGATGGCACATACACCTACGCTGGCTTAGGGTGAACAATACATTGTCAGATGAATTGATACCTTTTTAATGGAATCTTATTTTTTCATCTAGCATCTTAATCATGGAAAGCAAGCAGTATATTGGTAAGGTAGTATAGATTAAATTGCATCTTTCTAAATCTTATATGAAATCACACAGCTTTTAAATTTGTGGGGTGAGATCTATTGTCAGAGCTTTCAGATGAAAAACAGGCTTGTAGTTAGTGGCTGTTACAAATTGCATGTAGAATTATTTCAAAACACCAATGCGAGCCTTCATTGTAGTTCCATTGCCAAAAGACTGGCATTCATCCCCAATTTTCCATCTGGTGGCAAGTAAACTACTTAAGTTTCCCTGTGATCTCCTAGGGAATCTAGTGTCAGGAAGCTACAATTGCTGCTTCTGGAAGGTGGCAACTCACAGGGAATAATTGGATTAAAGGACACAGGGATCTTCACTGCTATGTCACATGTCCATCAAAAAGTCACAAGTGTGTTTTACAATGAGACAAGTTCATTTTCTCAAAGGGAATTCTTGGATCTACATGTTCTAAACATTTTCAGTAAATGCTACCACTCACATTTTAGAAATACACAGTTTATACTTTATGAGGCTATGTATATATAAAACTTTGTCAATATGAATCATTACATAGAATAAATCATTTAAATTTTTTTTTATTGGAAAGTCAGAATTACACAGAGAAAAGGAGGAAGATCCTCCTTTTTGGTTGGTTTGCTCAACTAGAACGGTTACAACAGCTAGAGATGACTCAGTTCATAAAAAGGAGCCAGGAGCCTCTTCCAGGTCTCCCACGCGGGTGCAGGGTCCCAAAGCTTTGGGCCGTCCTCGACTGCTTTTCCAGGCCACAGGCAGGGAGCTGGAAGGGAAGTGGAGCAGTGCCCATGTAGAATCCTGTGCATGCAAAGTGAGGACTTGAGCACCAGGCCTGTGGGTGTGTTTTAAGTAATATTTTCCTTCATTGATGACAAGGGACCAGAAGTTTCATACACTATTTGAAATGATTTAGCATGGACTGAGTGCAATAGCCTAGCAGCTAAAGTCCTCGGCTTGTATGTCCTGCATCCATGTGGGAGAACCAAAGAAGTCTCTGGCTTCAGGCTTCACATCAGCTTAGCTCTGGCAAGTGAATCAACGGATGGAAGATCCTCTCCCCTTGTCTCTGTACATCTGATTTTTCGATAAAAATTTTAAAAAGAAATGGGTTAACAGTAAAAGAGGGAGGAGGTGGGACAGGCTGAGCTTCCCCTACCTTTGTGGCTCTGCAAGGTAATCTAGGAAACCTGGGGAGACTTAAGAATACTGGCAGGTGGTTTTTATTTTGTTTTTGCTTAGTCCTCACAGCATGATGTGGAATAAAGGAGTGAATAAAATTTTTTTTTTAAAAGTAACACATGCAGAAGGGAATACAAATCAGATATACAAACCATGAAATCAACCTTTTATGGAAACAAGGCTAAACATAGAAGGGCATAAACTGAAAAGACAGAGGCATAGACAAACAGCATGTTTACACATGTTGAATTTCAAAAGATAATTTCATGAAACTACGGAGTGTGTAGGTATTAAGCTACAGAATGATAAATCATTGCTTGGAATGGCTAAATCCATCAGTGAGACCTTTTAAGTTTTTTTATTATTATTATTATTTTTTTTTATTGGAAAGGCGGATATACAGAGAGGAGAGACAGAGAGGAAGATCTTCCATCCGATGATTCACTCCCCAAGTGAGTGCAACAGCCGATACTATGCCGATCCGAAGCCAGGAGACTCTTCGGGTCTCCCACATGGGTGCAGGGTCCCAAAGCTTTGGGCCATCCTCGACTGCTTTCCCAGGCCACAGGCAGGGAGCTGGAAGGGAAGGGGGGCTGGCGGGATTAGAACAGGCAGTGCCCATATGGGATCCCAGCACAGTAAAGCTAGTCTAACATGCTGGGCCTTTTTTTTTTTTTCTTAAGATTTATTCACCTTTATTCATTTCTGACCCAGCTTGCTGCTAATGCTTACTCTGGCAGATAGCATGTAATGATACAAGTATTTAAGTTTTGTAACTTTAACTGGGATCTCACATGGAACAATCTCCTTGCTTCAGCTTTACCTGATGCCAGCTGCATAACATTTGAGGTTGGACCAATGGAAGTGAGATATCTCCTCCCCCTTATTCTGTTTAAAAATTTATGTATAAAGTAGGAAATATTATGCTAGTTAGAGGAAGATGTAAAGTGGAAAGAGTTGACTACAGTTTATATAGTTAGGGCTGGTCCTGTTACATAGTTGATTAAATTGCAGCCAGTAACTACTAACATCCCAAATCAGTGCTAGTTTTAAGTTCTGCTACTGATGTGGTGTAGCTCCCAATTATGCCCCTGGAAAGCAGTGAAAGATAACCCAGGTGCTAGGACTTCTGAGTAACCACCTGAGAGATGCAGCCAGGATGAGCCCATTAGGAGACAAGCAAGTGTTTGAAATATATCTATCTGTCCCTGTGTAATTCCTCCTTTAAAATAAATACTGAAGGGCCCTGCGCAATACCATAGTGGTTAAAGTCCTCGCCTTGCATGCCCGGGATCCCCTATGGGTGCCGGTTCTATCCCGGCAGCCCCGCTTCCCTTCCAGCTCCCTGCCTGTGCCCTGGGAAAGCAGTGGAGGACGGCCCAAAGCCTTGGGATCCTGCACCCACGTGGGAGACCCGGAAGAGGCTCCTGGATCCTGGCTTCGGATCGGCAATCGGGCTGTTGCGCTCACTTGGGGAGTGAATCATCGGATGGAAGATCTTCCTCTCTGTCTCTCCTCTCTGTATATCTGACTTTCCAATAAAAATAAATACATCTTCTAAAAAAATTTAGACTGGCTTTAGAGATTAAAAACCAAGTTCCAGGTCCTTGTTGCCTACAAAAATACACCTCAGCTACAAGAAGCATACCAACAAGAAGCATACAACAAAAATACACATAGATTGAAAGTGAAAGAATGAAAAGACATTTTTGCAAAGTAAAGGATTAGTGAGTGGTTGAGGTGCTCTGATCAGACAACATGAATTTAGCACAGGACCATTAGAAGCAATAAAGCAGGATACTACATGATCATGACATCAATTCAACATGAAGTATATTGTGAATGTATAAACACTCAATGCCAGTTATTTAAAACTTTTTATTTGTTTATTTAGCAAAATCATTAACATTTTTTAGCATTTACTACAAAGGTGAGTGAATGGTGTTTAATATAGTGGTGAGGGGATGAGGATTGCAAACCCATAGGTGCCTCTGGTAGTGACAAAAATAAAACATAAAGGAAGGGAAAGGATGAGAGATAGGTTGCTGTTGAGGGAGGAGAGGATACACCCGTTGGCCTGATATCCCTGATATCTGAAACCCTATAAGTTTAAGGTAATCTTTTGATTCAAGGGATACATTCCAATCCAGGTCAAGCCTACCAAGCCTGCACTCAGCTCCTGTCCTCTACCCTTCAGCAACTTCACAAATTTATGTGAAGCCATCTATTATTCCTGAACACCAGGAAATGAAGATGGTAAGCAACAAATCAATAAAAAGTGTGTAAACACATGGCAACTAAATAAAATGCTACTGAATGAATAGCAAATCTTACAGGAGCCCTAAAGGAAAATTTCAAAAATCATAGAAATGAATGAAGATGACAACACATGTCAGAACAAATGCGATGCAATAAACACAGTGTAAAAGTAACAATCAATTAGTATACATATCAATAAATCAGAAGGTATCAAAAAAATGACCTATCAATACATCTAACAGACCTAGAACACAAACAAACCAAACCTCCCAAGTTAATAGAAAGAAATAATTAAGATTAGGATAAACAATAAAAACAAAAACAGGTAGTATTGGTGAATTGAATAGCTGTTCTTTTGAGAAAAATTTGCAAAATCAATACAGCACTGGTACAAATAACAAAAAAAAAAAAGAGAGAGAGAGAGAGGAAGAAGATCGATAATAAACAAACAAGAGAGACATGGGCCTGGTGCTGAAACCTAATAGCTAAAGACCCCACTTTGCATTTTTCCAGGTGCCAGTTCATTTCCTGGCTGCTCCATTTTCCTGTTTTTGCCCTGGGAAAGCAGTTGAGGATAGTCCAAAGACTTTGAGACCCTGTACCCACAAAGCAGACCCAAAAGAAGCTCCTGGATTCAGATTGGCTCAGCTCCAGCTGTTGCGATCACTTAGGGTGTGAATTCTCAGACAGAAGATCTTCCTCTCTCTGTCTCCTCTCTCTATATATATCTGACTTTACAATAAAAAATAAAAATCTAAAAACATTTAAAAATTTAAAGTCCCCACCTTGCATCCACTGGGATCTCCCATGGGCACTGGGGCAATGTTTATGTCCTAGCAGCTTCATGTGCCATCTAGCTGCCTGCTTGTGTCCTGGGAAAGCAATTTTAGGATGGTTCAAAGCCTTGAGACCCTTCACCCAAATGGGAGAATTGAAAGAGGCTCATGGTTCCTGGCTTCAGATCAGCTCAGCTTCAGCCATTATGAGTTCTTGGAGAGTGAACAAATGAATGAAAAATCTTTATCTGTAAATATGACTTGCAGCAACAAAATTTAAAAAAATTTTAAATAAACCAATAAAATGCTACAACAAATAAGTCTTCAAAAAAACTAAAAGAAAAAAA